GCTTTCCACCCGAAAGCGAAAAGGCACTTAGGAACCGAATGGAGTCTTCTACGTCCGATGGACTGAAGACCGACAGACACTCCGTATCTGACCGTCCATCTCGACAAAGCTCAGTCCCACAACTTAGACAACCTCACAAACTGACATTGCAGTGTCGCAGCTCCGCTGTGACACTGTCATCGCTCAGAAAGCTGAAGGGTCTCCGACTCAGCAGTTGAAGAGTCTCTGACTCCAGACCGTCGACCAATCAGAAGGCAAAAAAGTCGTACTACAGAATTCAAGTCTCCGACTCGAAATTCTGTCACTAAAAAATCCTCGTCGAGCCTCGGGCTCATTTTTTGTGGGTCAGAAACTACCTCCTCCGTACTTCCCGAATAATTGAGAAAATAAATTTCTCAATTATTCACACAAGTACTTCCCAGAAGGATAGATTTCTAGAGTCAGAGGTGGTGCTTAGAAGCACCATTTTTAACATTCACAATCAACATTCATCAACAACATTCACACAACAAATTGACACGTACTTCTAGGGAGGTGGTAGGCAACTAGGTTGCAGAAGAGTCACCCCAACTTGCAGGGTCTTGCGGACACCTGCAAGTTCCCTACCCAAACTGGAAGGGGCTTCAGCAACCCAACCTCCGGAGGGGCTTGCTGGCAGATCTTGTTACACTCCTCTCCACCTCTTTCACTCTGTCAGCCAGCCTCTCCGGCAGCTCCAGCCTCCTCGTCCGACTAAGCTGCTCATACCTCTGGTATGCATTAGAGACCCAGTCTCCTTGCAGCTTGATGAGGAGATGGTCCACCCCGATGTTGAAAGCCACAGTGGCTCCCCCTCTCCTGAAACTGTGACCCGAGTACTTACTCGGGTCCAAGCCAATCCTCCGGGTCAGCTTTTTCACCTCCGCTACGAACACACCATGTGTCATAGGCACAAGCCTGCCCCTTGACTTCCACATGAAAGCCGGGCTTCCCGGCTCTGTGGGCACTCTCTCAAAACAGTTCAGCACTGCTTTTTGGGGACACAACAAGCCACCAGTTACCCTCATGGCTACCACATGAGACCTCTCATGAAACTGAATAACCTTGGAGAATGCCAGTCTCACCCAGACTCCTTCCTCACAACAAAATCCCTCTTCTGCAACACCCTTCTTACATTGAAGGAGTCTACTTTACCAACACAAACATTGTCTTTTCTCAACAAACACAACAAGGCAGTAAGCATGGCTGCCCACAATGTCACCATGTTACAGTCATCAAAATCCATTACAACATACATCTTAGCTAGCATGAACAATGTAATAGCAAGCCTCTGTTTAACTCGGTCACCGAGCAGTCTCCTCAATCCTCTCAGAGTCTGTGCTACTCTGTAGCGATGGCTAACCGGCACCCAGCTCTCCGAGAATTCCAGGTGAAGCCTCCTAATACCAGTCGTGTAGGCCTTCAGTGTTGCAACTTTGCAAGTCCTCGACTGGAAGACATAAAACAGTGCTAGGTCATCATCTGACACCGGAACTACCGGTCCTTCTCCGAAGGTTAGCATAAATCTCACAAAGGCTCTCTGGCCTGAAGTATGTGCTTTCTTCGTATTCAAGGCGTCAGCCGCCTTCAGCACATCTCGCCACTTGGATCTCAACCAAAGAGTAGGTTCTGCACACTCTGCAGCCCCCGCTCTCCCCCCCAGCGAGCTCACCTGCCAATCTTCAGCCAGGCCTTGCCCTTCGGGGGTTGAGCCGGGCACCACACTAGCACAACAGGCCATCTCGTCGGGCCACAATTCTTCCTCCGCCCTCTCACACCATTGGGTGAAGTGAACACCTCCGACCCTTCAGGCACAAACTCTACCACCTGAACGAGGCCACAATCAATAGCTGGCACCACAATTTCTAGCCAGAACCTTTCCGTGGGCCAGAAGGGCAAGACAAAAACTGCAGAAGTTGTCTTCGGAGCCACCCTCTTCTCACTCAAGAAGTGGATGAGAATTTCCAGCAACAAGGAGAAAGGGGGATTATAATACACATTCAACCCTCTCCACTGCTTACTCAGACAAGAGTCCACCATGGACCACCAACGGAAACACCGGGACTTCGCCCCCACTTCATCACAACAAGCATCCACCGCGAAAGGCCCGAACACCCGGGCCTTGTCCCACAGCCATTCATTCACCATCCAGTCATCCAAATCCCTCGGTGAATCCCTCCGGGACCACTCCCTCAACAGCTCAAAGAATCTCCCCATTTCACTCCTACTTAGAGCATCAGCCAGGCCGTTTGCCTTGGAAGAGATCCTCCTTGTCACAATCCTCAGGTCATGCTTCAATGTCAACAACAAAACTTCTTTCAGTAAAGGAATGGAAGTGGCTTTCCCCACAAATTCTCCGTCATAAGCCGGGCCGACTCATTGTTGCTCCACAGCACAATCTTGCAACCCCTCAACAAGTGGCCCCACAACTTCAGAGCCCAGAAAATCACAAACACTACCGCCTGACCATTGTTGGTGTCCAACATCTCGGCCAGCCACCTCAAGTCCTTGTTCAACCCCTCCGGAACTGAGTCAAAAACCCTCCGCATCCTCCTGGCTTTGCCAAGAAAGTCATACCCCGACCTCAAAAACATCTTGGCTCCGTACACCACTCTGGCACAAAACATCTGCTGGCCCACCAGCCGCCCAACTTCCTTCACTCTAACTTTCTTCAATCCTGCCACGTGCCGGCACTCCGCAGCCACCCGCTGCACTCTACTCTCCTCAATACTCATTGCCACCACACCCAGCCCAGACTGATTAGACCGCAGGCGCCCCCCAAGGAACACTATGTCCTGCCTAGAAGACTCCACCTTCTCCGGGGCGACATCAAAACCCAAGTACTCCACCAACTCCAGCAACAAGTCAAACCCTTGCTGACACACCTCTTCGGAATCTGCCACCAACAGGAAGTCATCCAAGTACACCACCACCCCCGGAAAACCTCTACTCTGCAACATCCTAGAGATCTAGACCGTCACATCTGAGAACAGCCCTGGGGCTGCCTTAATCCCAAACGGAAACCTCGTGTCCATCCGCACCACATCATCAAACTTGCTCACTAGAAACTGAAACAAATCCGAAGCCACACCTACATACCGGTATGCACTCCTCAGGTCAATCTTTGCCATATAGCTATACGGCTGCACTAAAGCAAACGCTGCCTCAACAGTGGCAAACTTCCTACTGTCAATCACACAATTGTCATTCACTGACAGGCCTACGGGCCTAGACAAGTCATGCACAAGCCTGTCCTTCAACCTGCCCTCAACAACCCGGAAAACAATTCCAAGGGCAGATATGCCGGGAACACTCCCAACATCTGTGCGCACCATCCTGCCGGCGTCCTCCTCCTCTTGCAGCTTTCTCTGCACCTTTTCCTGGTGCTCCGGCGGAACATAGTTCTCCACCTCGAAGAACTCTACCAGCCGCTCCTGCTGCCACCGAAACCCAGAAGCCACCCCGCGGACCACCTCCTCCGCGACTGGTAGGCCCCAAGCAGCCTGCGCCCATCTGTCAGCCCGCTCCGTGAGCGGTGAAACCCGTGCACCCACGGCCACCACGTCGTGCTGATACCGCAGCCAGTCCGCCTCCGGCACGCCGTAGGAAGCCAGAGACACCCCCACAACCGTGAACATTGCCAGAAACTTAGCCGACCACTTCCCTACTTTCTTAGCCTTCATCTCATCCCGAGCCTTCCCTGCCGCCATTACAGGATAAAGCGGGGCTGCCTCCGACACCTGCGCCCCGCCCTCCTCAGATAGTCATTTGCCCGGACAGGCCTCCCCGCGGTCTGCAGACTTGTACTTGCGGCAGGAGTGCACGAATCCGCAGTCCTTGCCCTTTTTACAGCCGCGAGCCGACTGGAAAAAATCACACAGCCCGTCACGCTTCTTGTCACGCGCCTTGGAATCCCGCGTGTGGCTCTTCTTGCCCCCACGGTCGTCAGTCAGTCGCTTCTGCACTTCACCCAAGGATTCAGCAAACGAATACTGAAAACGGGAAGCCAACGGGACCGGGTCCCACGTCGTCACACGACCCTGCGCAAAATCATCACGCACTTGCGCGTCGAAATCATACACATCAGCCCAGGAATACTTTTCCGTCAGCGTCAGAATCCAACTGATGTACCTTCGAAACAGCGCGCGCTCCTTCACATCCGGGATCTTTTCCACCATTTCGAAGTTCTGTTCCAAGAATTGATCCTTGGACAGACGCGGAACCGCAACCGACTTCATCTCACCAGTCACAGGGTCCGCAACCTTCTTGCGTAACTTCGTGCGCTGGCCCGTTCACGCAAGGCAAAAAACTGAATTCTCACCTTTCGCTGGTTCGTAACCGCTAACTCGCGCACCCAGCCACGCGTCAACCCGCCATTTCAGCGCCTCATCCGCAGCCAAGTCCTCCGGCGACGGCTCCCCATCGCTGCACTTCATCTGCTTCAGTTTTCGCGATTTTTCTGCATCTTCCTCATCCTCCCCGAAGAGATCTTCCTCCACCTGCTCCTCTTCATCTCGTTCTCCTTCGCTCTCCGCATCCCGACGGTCCTTCCCCGCTCCGCGCGCCCCTTGAGATAACGACGCCTGCGGAACTTCGTGAACCTTGAATCCCAATTCTCCTACCAACACCTCCACGCACTGGTCCGCTGCCTCCATAATCGCTTCACAGAACGCCGGACCGCCTCTTCCTGGAGGCACCAACTTCGCGAGCGTCACCATTCCATCGTCCTCGTCCTCACCGAAATCCGCGGGCTCAAACTCGCCCCCCGAAAGCGCAAACTCCAGCATCTCTTGCGCCCCCTGCAGCTTCGCGGCTTTGTCACCGGGACATGTCTCGCACGATACCCTCGACGTCGATTATAGATCCAGCGGGATCAAAAGAAGTACCGGATCGTCTATAATTAAATTTATAGAATATGTAACAATATAGATAAAATAAATATATATAAATCAGAAAAGTTGCAACAAAAATACCATCATTTGGTTGGAATAGCTCAGTGGTAGAGCGCCCATGATCAAAGCGGGAGGTCGGTGGTTCGATTCCCCTTCCAAAATTTTCTCGATAAAAAGAAAAAAATATGTTACCGCATCACGCGATCCAACGCTGGCGCTGCCGCGCTACACCTCTTTGTTGCCGCTACACTTGCAGCCATCATCTTCGCAACCATCCGTATTTCCGAATACGCGCTCTTCAACACCTCATCCGCTCTAGCTCCGCTCGCCATAATGATAGACAAAGAATGTATGAAATTCCGCGAGAACTTTTTGAAATTGGTAGACTCGGAGCCCGAAGTTCTTGCAGAATGAAGTGTCACCGTCTGTCTTAGCAATTTCAAACTGCTGACACCGACCTTTCGCTGTCTAAGTTGGGGGACCTTTTCGCTTTCGGGGACCTTTTCGCTTTCCACCCGAAAGCGAAAAGGCACTTAGGAACCGAATGGAGTCTTCTACGTCCGATGGACTGAAGACCGACAGACACTCCGTATCTGACCGTCCATCTCAACAAAGCTCAGTCCCACAACTTAGACAACCTCACAAACTGACATTGCAGTGTCGCAGCTCCGCTGTGACACTGTCATCGCTCAAAAAGCTGAAGAGTCTCCGACTCAGCAGTTGAAGAGTCTCTGACTCCAGACCATCGACCAATCAGAAGGCAGAAAAGTCGTACTACAGAATTCAAGTCTCCGACTCGAAATTCTGTCACTAAAAAATCCGCAAAAATTCACAGTTCCTCGTCAAGCCTCGGGCTCATTTTTTGTGGGTCAGAAACTACCTCCTCCGTACTTCCCGAATAATTGAGAATTTATTTTCTCTCAATTATTCACACATTTCGAAAATCGGTTACGTTATTTCCGAAAGGAAGCCAAACTGTTTTTCGGAATCTCAGCCTCAGTAGCAACGCTCCATCACTGTGCTTCCTTTCTTTTTTACGTGAAATCTTCCGCGAGGAAATTTTCGCTCTTGAGATTCCGGAAATTTCAGTTTGTACATGTCTCACGATTCGCATGTGGCGAAGCACTGAATGAGGACAATTCTGCGCGGTAAAGCTTGGCAGAAATGTCGAGCAGGGAGGTGGCGGTGCAGACAGACGTTTCGGCGGTGCACGCGGATTTCCTTGTGCGCGAGGCAGTGGAGAAGCGGAATTGGGAGCACCCGGCTTTTAGTCCGTGTGATTGTGCACCACTTGTCAGCTTTGGTTGCCGAGGCACCTGCAGGGTTTCATGAGGCCGAAGGTGTATCCGCGGCATTTTAGCGGCATTTTGCTTGGAGCCGCGGCAGTGAAGCTGGAAGTGCTGGAGGCGGACCTGCGGGTGCTGTGCGAGGTGTGCCGGAAAGACAGGATTTTGGTGAACGCGGTGTGGCGGTTGTGGGACCCAATCTTGGCAACTACGCAGAGGCATTAACGGGTGGACGTTCCGGACGATTGACGTCTACGGGGAGTGTGCGCAGTAGATTGGTTGGTCAGCAGACTCGAAGGCAGTGTCGTTCCCGATCGGTCGGGGTGAAAATCTTGGGCTGCGAGATACTATTTTGGAAGGCGCGGACGGGGGGAGGCAAGGTCGGCCCCTGTCCTCCCAGGAGGCGCGACAGGCGTTGGATCACTACAGGTTGGTGGCCTTGTAGGGACAGAGGAGAGCGGTAGCAGCGGTGGAGAAGTTACTGGCCTTGTCGCAGCCGCACTGGGCCACGACCAAGGAGGCAATGCTGGAGGAGAGGGACAACATTCTGCTGAAGTTCGAGGTCTTGGGGCCGGCGCTGGAGGCCCTGCCGGAAGAGCTGGTGGGGCAGACCGAGGACCTCGTGGCCATAATGTTGTTCGCGCGGGCGCGAGACCGGGGGGTCAGGCTGGCCAGGACCTGGCTGGGGGTCTAGGAGCGATGGGACGCGCTGAGGACGCGAGCGGTCCAGCACCGCAGGCGGGTGCATGCATGGGCGGCAGCGGCTCAGGACGTCCAGTGCGCGACAGGGGAAGGGTCGCCGGTGACCAGCCTCAGCGGCGGACGAGGAGGAGGACCTAGGAGCCCCGGGGGATTCTCGCTGGAGCAGGTGGAGACAATCGTGGCCAGGGCGGTGGCGTAGGCGATGGCAGGGGTGCAGCAGATGACGCCGGCAGGGAAATCGCGGGGGTCTCGGGACCCAGATCTCCCGAGGGCCAAGCTGCGGGACGCGACGGAGGGCTTGCAGGGGGAGAGGGAGGCGTGGACGTGGTTGGAATGCGAGCGGGCGATCCTGGAGATCAAGGTGGCTGCTGCGCAGCTAGCAGTGGATCTGGTGCGGGCGAGGCACAATTTCGGGAGGTACCCAGCGCAGCTAGTGGAGGAGGTGGTGGAACGCTTCCCGGAATGTGCGAGGCAGCAGTGTGGGCTGAAGGAGCTCCCGGAGTGGGTGGGTGTCCGTGCCAGGCACCTTTACCGGTGCGTGGAGCTGGCGGTGAGGCAGCTGGGGCAAATGCAGCGGGCGCTGGAGGTGGCAGCGGGGGCGAAGCAGCGAGATATCAGCGACGAGTGGCTCATCAAGGTGGCACAGAGGAAGAAGGGGCACAAGGAGAAGGGGAAGAAGAGGAAGGTGTCCTTCGCGTAGGGGCAGGACAGCGAGGAGGACGAGGAGGAGCGGGAGGCAGCGCGCCAGCGATTCAAGGACCTGCGCACGGCCACGGAGGAACAGCTGGGTGCTGGAGGGGTCCCTCTTGGTCAAGGACATCCTGAAGCCACCAGGTGAGGGGGACCTTTCTTCTGTGCTCGTGCGCCCCGTTGGGGGCCCGCTCAAGGGGCTGGATGTGCGTGTCCGGAGGCCGAAGAACGAGTTTGATGAGGGGGTCGCGAGCTGGAGGTTGGACCCCAAGAAGGGCCTGGTGACGGACGAAAAGGCCAAGCACTGTAGGAGCTGGGAGGAGTGGGATGAGGGTTTCACCTGGCTGATGTGCGTGGCGCCGGCGGAGGCGAGGGACCTACTGGCGGGGTTCCAAAAGTGGATACGGGTGATGTCGGGGGAGAACGCCTGGGAGTCGCTGCGAAAATTCTACGATCACCTGGTTTCCCGCATTGCGAAGGACATATCGGTCACTTTCGAGCTGACCTCGTACATGACGCTCTGGGAATTGGGTACGCCCGCCGTGTACCTCGTACACGGCGGGCGGGGCGCGGGATTGAGGAAACCGTGGACTGGGACGACGGAGGCGCCTAAGCCGGACAATGCGGCGGAGGGGGGAGCGGGAGCCAGGGCGACGAAGGCTGGGGCCGGCAAGGGAGGCAAGGTGTGGCACGCCTGTTTTGAGCACAATTTGGCTGCGGGGTGCAAGCGAGCAAAGTGCGGATTTGACCACAAATGCAATAAGTGCGGGGCGTAGGATCACGTACACTACGACGGACACGACTGCACGGGGCAGGCGGGCGCCCAAGGGTGACGAGGCGCGGGGTAGAACCCGGGGGACGCCACTACCCTTGGGGAGCCGGAGAGTGGCGGAGGGGCCCAGAGGGCGCCAGGGGTGGCAGGCTGCGGCGAGGGCGAGACGGCGATCAGCAGCAGCCGGGAACCGGAACTGAAGGAGGAGGCGCCGGGGAGTGCAGAGAGCAGCGGGATGCGATGGTGGGCTCAGCTGGAGAACTTGCAGTACGGCGAGTGCGGGATAAACATGGGGAGCCTTGCCGGGAGGGGCAGGGTGAGGAGCAGGAAGCGTGCCCAAGAGCAGCAGGGAGGACTAACCGCCTGTAGAGAAATCGAGCTCGAGGAGGTGGCCTGCATTTAGGGAAGACATCGTGCGCAAAGCCCAAAAGGCAGTGATGCAGGGCTCGGGGACCAGCGAGGCGGAGCGCGCGCAATTTCAGCAGGAGGTGCGGAGCGTAAGAGCGCAGGCACCGCTGATGTCCGAGCGGGCGAACTTGCTGGCAGCGCCTTGCACCAACATGCCCCAGCAAGAGCTCACTAGTCCATTCTCTCACACCATCATGCCCCAGCAAGAGCTCACTACTC